TGCTCTCTGCTAAGGGCTTGACATACAGTAAATTCTCAATAAGCATTTCGACATCATTCACCTAAAGAAGTTATGCACTGTTTCTGATGTCATCCTAAAATTAGAATTAAATCCCAGCAAAGAATCAGGATGTCTTGAAGCAAAAGGGCTGGTTTGTTCTTTCCAAGATCTGCAAACCAGGAACACAAAGTTTTTACCTGTAATGGACAGTATGAACCCCGGGGGTTGATGGGTTGAAGGACTGCTGAAAGCCAAACCACAGAACGCATAGGTGGGCGACTTGCAAGGGGCTTGGATGGCCTGTGCAGCCTGACTACAGATCCTTGCAGCTGAACTGCAAGTTTCCCATGACTGGCTGACACTGGAGCATCTCCTTAGAGGTTTGTCCAGGTGGGGCCCTTAGCAGAATCAGAAGACTGACAGGTGTTGTATGTGGTTTTCTAAGAACTTGGAAGTATGTGAGTGAAACCCGAACCATCACGAACTACACATTATCTCAAGCTTCCAAAAACTTTAAGTCGACAAGGGGTGTCGGGGATTGTGTACTGAGGCTTTTTCTCAAGGTGAACTTGGTTTTGCCTTCAGAATTGGGTGTGATCATTTCTGGCCATGTCCTACAAAGTGACACTGAGCCTGTGCTCCTAAACATTAAGGTTGAGCCTCAGCCCAGGCAGGCATTCCCCTGGGTCCTCTGATCTCACCTTTGTCTGCTCCCAGTTGAATCAGGGACTTTTATCTTTCCCCCTTCAGGAAGAGCTCAGAATTTCCTCCGTGTGAGGACCTATGTTGTGTGCATGGGGGCATCCATCTTCAGGTGGAGAAGATAGAGGTCGCTGAGAGTGGCCTCACTCAGTCACTTCAAAACACAGGATCCCCTGACTTTATTCTGATGGACATCATCGGTGCCCCCACCCCATATTTCTGGATTTGGGGGAAAAGCAAAGGTCCCTCCCCTGCAGAAGGTGAATGCATGGAGGCCAGTCCTGTGGACTGGAGAAGGCTGGGGCAGTGGGTCACTGCTGGGGGACCCTGAGGGATGGAAAGGCCTCTAAGCACCTCCCAGGATGCCTGGCCCGAGGCTCGGAACTTCCTGCAGTTTCCCTGGCACCTGATATGTTTTGCAAAGGATATTTCTGCTCATCTGAGCTCAAGTGGGTGCCGCTGTGGCAAATAAATTTCCCCTGCAGGGAACATATCTAAGAGCGTCCTTGTCCTTAATGTAATGTACTACCTTGATTTTAAGTTTTAGGTGTGTAAAATTTAAACGAATAAACAATGATGATCATTATCATCATCCATTACTGAACAAGACACAATAGGTCCCAAGAAATGTGTTATCACCTCTGAGAAGAATCAGAAATTGTAAATTCACAGACACCTCAGGAACAGTGGGCGTCCCAGCCCTGAAGGCGACGGGAGGCAGCAGAGCCGGACTGATACTTACAGTGCGTCCCTCTGCTCTGGCTCTGGCTCTGGCTCTGGCTCTGGTGCTGTCGCAGGCAGGAGAGCTGGAGCTGGCTCTCCACCCAGAGGGGTTTCCCCAGTGGGTTCTGGAGCTGGTGCTGTAGCTCCAAGAAGGGAAACTCTCATCAATAGGACTGCTTTCCCACGTGTCTCCCAAAGCCAGGGGAGCCCTCACTGCTACTCAATCAAATCTCACTCCAGGATTCCACCCCCAGGGAGTCTTCCCAGACTCTGCTCTGTGGGGTCCAGTGCCTTCCCCTCCCCACCCACCAGATCCCCCACCCTGCATCCTCCTCACCATCACTGTCTGCCTCTGGGAGTTCCAGTTGCTCCAGCTGTGCCAGGAAGAGGTGGGCCTGCCGCTCCAGGTCTGAGCCAGGCATGCTGAGCTCTACATCAGCAACAATGGTCTTAAGGCATGGGAATTCTGGAGGCTGGTGGAAACCGTCTGGGTACTGGAACATCCAGGTGCCCAGGATGGAGGCCATGGCCCTGGGGGTAGTCAGAGGGACACCAGAGTCAGAGCCTGGGCCTTTCCTACCACATAGGGCTCCCAGGGTGAACCTGCAGGGACCTGGGCCTTTTTGCCTTTGGCTCCTGCCCATCCAGAGGCCGGCTCTGCTCCATGTCCCATCTCAGCTGGCTAGTGTGGGCAGAGGCAGGCTTGGACACAGAGGAGGGGCTGCTACAAGCCTTCTGAAGGGACAGCCCTGGCTCAATGGTGTGACCACATGTCCACCGCTTCAGGGACTCCTGTCACACTGCTATGTCCCTCTCCCTGCCCCTCTCCACTGGATGGCACATCTGTGAGGACAGGCAGGCTGTGTGCTCTGGCCACTGCCCTCTAAGGGACACGGGAGCTGCTCTATGAGTGCCTGAGCCAGGAGGGAACAGACAGGCTGTGTCAGCCATCCAGGCTGCCCACGGGCCTCCTCACTCCTCAGACTTTAGCTCCTGCACCTGCTGGATGCAGAATCATCCAGGAACCCTGCCTGGGTCTCCTTCTGCCCCTGCCACTCAGCATCATCAGGATGGGCTCAGCTGTCCCCTGAGGCTCCTTGGGTCCCCTGAGTACCAGCTGAGTCCCCACCATTGAGGCTCCACTAGATGGCGGGCAGGATGCTCCCCACCCCTCATGTTCTGTGTCTGCCAAAGGGCATGTGGGCAGGGATGGGATGGATAGGGGATGCTTGTGAGTTTTCTTCAGTTTTGACTCTGTCCTCTGACATCCCAGATGCCCCTCACAGCGCCACAGTCCCATCCACAGCTCTCTGGGTCTCGTCTCTTCTTTGCCAGGGGAAGCCCTAGGACTTCTGCTCTCAAGCCAGACTCGCAGGATATGCGGGATCCAGGATTCCGCCCACCTCTGCCCAAACAGAGAACCCAGAGCTTCACACACTATTTGGGGAAGGAGTCCTTCCCGCTTCAATCCAAGGGACTCACTGTTTCAGCTGGTGCAGGGGTCCCCCGTCCTCTTCCGTAACAGGGAGGATGCATCCGTATTTAGAGGAGAGCAGGAAGGCATCAAATGGACTGTCCCGAGCACACTAGCTGGATGTGCTGTCTAGTGTGACAGTGTGAGTCCCGGGAGAATGGAAGCCCTGGAGGGCAGGGTTGATGTCTGCTCGATGCATTAAATGATGGTTGATCCTAGAAAAGCCCTTGTCCCTGGGGGCCCTTCCTATACATTTGACAAATGAGTGAGTGAGCCCACCTGGCCCCATGGCGCACATCTGAGTGGGCCTGGGACCCCACTTGTCCCTCCCAAGGATCCCTGATCTCACTCTCCCAGGACAGGGACAGCTAATGGTGTCACAGATCCCCTTTGAAATGGGAAAACAGTTGTGCCCAAGGCCAAAGTCCCAGTGACACAGGAGGCAGACGCTAGCTCTTGGGCAGGAGGACAATGACAAATTCACGCAACCACAGCCCACCAGTTGCCCTTTCCATGAGCCAGGTCCCCGGAGAGCACCTTCCATGAAGGTCTCCCTCTGTTCCTACCCTCCTAGTGCCTGATCCTCTCTTGGGCCTGATCCTCCTAGGGCCTGATCCTCTCTTGACCCCAGTGTGCAGGGGGGACACTGAGGCTCAGAGAGGTAGAGGAACAATGCCTCATGGCACTGCTGGTAGGTGGCCAGGTCCCCAATGTCCCATGAAGACAGTGCTCACCTTCGGAACAGATGGTCCAGCACCTACTGGGCGGTGGCAAAAGTTCGATAATTGCCCAGAAATGTGTTCACATAGGAGGGGTGGCCGCCCAGGATGGCAGGCACCAGCTTTGCCACCAGCTTCTCCAGCCTGTGTCGCCGGAGGCTCCAAGCCCTGTAGGCCTCATCCCTGCTGCCTGATGGTCCAGCTCCCCCCTGGGGTGGGAAGAGGAGAGACATGAATCAGAGGCAGCACCGGGGACCCCCAGGCACTTGGGGCTGGAGATTAGACCGAATCCTCAAGCCTCAAGCTCTTG